CAGGGAGGTGGTGAGTTAGTCCACAGTAAGGTGCTTAGAACTATACCGAGAGCATGGTGAACACCTAGTCATATTAGCTGTCATGGATGTTATTACTGTTTCAAATACTGTGATCATGCAGGCTGCAGGCTACTTTGGAGTTGAATTCAGGGAATGGCTTCTGTGAGGCTCCCCCTGGCGCTGTGTAAGGGGTGACCGTGCCCGCTGACTCACTCCCTGTGAACGTAGGGATACACTGTGTTTTCCAAGGAGGGACGCATACTCCCAGTTCTGGCCAAACCGGGAAGTGCCACAGCCCACATCTGAGGCTGGCACGCCACTGGGCCGATCTGTTTTTCCAGATCTGTTCTAAGGAAAAACGGTGCCCACAGAAAGATCATGCTTAGTGCCAGATTAAACATTACAGAACATCTGAGGCTGGCACGCCACTGGGCCGATCTGTTTTCCAGATCTGTTCTAAGGAAAAACGGTGCCCGAAGAAAGATCATGCTTCGTGCCAGATTAAACATTACAGGCGTATTCAATAAGGTAAGTTGCTGACCATGGGGGGAAAAATCCATTATCCTGAAATCTAGCTTTCATCAAAGGATCAAGGTGTTGCCACTAAGCCCTTTGTGACACGTACGTGTTACTCACAGGCTGAGATTCTAGGGTTTAAAGATGCTCCGGCAGTTCAGACACTGCCTTCTCAAAAGACTGCCGAGTTTTCTGGCAAAATCCAAATGCAACAGTGCGAGCTGGCAACAAAGACCGACTCCCCGCTAGTCCGCACCGTGGCCCTGGTGGCTGCTACGTACAGTGTAGGGTCTGCTCCAGGGACACGCGGTGAAGCAGTGTTTCGAATACTAGTGGCAATCTTTCTTCTAGGCCAGTGGTCGGCAAACTGCAGCTCCTTGAGTGTGGCTCTTCCACAAAATACCACGTGCGGGCATGCACATACAGTGTGATTGAAACTTCGTGGCCACACTCAAGGGGCCAAAGAGCCGCATGTGGCTCGCGATCCGCGGTTTGCCGACCACGGTTCTAGGCTATCGTCTGACAGATCCACGGAAACACGCGAGCACAGAATAGGTTTCTCTCGTTCCCTGTCTCCACGCTCCTCCCACGCTGGTTAGGAAGAGAGCCCACCGGAGCATCTTCACACCTGGACATAAGTGCGGATGTGCACGGCTGGTGGACAAGGGAGCTGCAGCCGCTAAAACAGGTCTAGAGGCCAAAATTATGCACCGGCATGTTTGAGACGAGAAACAATGGAAATAAAAAAGTACCAGGTAACCATTTAGAGGTTTCAGATGTGTCAAGAACTATGTTAGCGATTTTAAATGCATTATCATTTAATTCTGACAAAAACCCTTCAAAAGAAGTACGATTATTCACTAACTGTCATGGCCGAGGAGACAGAACCTAGCGGACTTGCAGACTCACTCCAGGTCACAGAGCTCACACTGATGAAGCTGGATCTGGACCCTGAAGTGACTCCGTAACTGGTGCTTCAAACCCTTAATGAACTGGGACCCTGAAAAGCCAGCACTCCTGTGAGCAAGTCCATCCTCGCTGCTCACCTCCCTCGCCTGTGCTGTCCAACAGGGTAGCCGCTAGCTACACGTGGCTATCGAAATTTAAACTGATTAAAAAGAAACGAAATTCGAAATTTAGTTCATTGCTATTGAGCAGTTAAAATATGGCCAGTGCAGCTGATGGCCTGAATTTCTAATTTCATTTAATTTTCGTTAATTCAAATTTCAATGGTCACATGTAGCTAGTGCAGGGGTGGGCAAACTTTTTGATTTGAGGGACATAATGGGTTCTTAAACTGGACCGGAGGGCCGGAACAAAAGCATGGATGGAGTGTTTGTGTGAACTAATATAAATTCAAAGTAAACATCCTTACATAAAAGGGTCTAAAGTCCCTGCCTCTTTCTTAAGATCAGAGACTATATGTTCTTCAAATGTACCTGTGTGGCCTTTCCAACGTTCCTCAACTCCCAGATCTGAGTGCCCCGTAAGTTCCAGGGTGAGGACAAGAAAATAAGAACAGATAAAACCCAGGAACAAGTGTTCTCAGCAGGAGGCTGGTTAAATCGCAGGCTCCGGTGCCCCACCTCTGCAGGCTCTGCTGCGGGGATCTGGGGGCCTGGAGTCCATGTTTGAATCAAGCAGCTAATGATTGGGATGCAGGTGGTGTAGCTTTGAGGCGCTGCTTTGGAGGCTGACTTACTTATCTCCTGGCCTCTTACACAATTATAGCACATAAATCTTAGGAGAACAGCGCAAACAGGGCAGGAAGCCAGGCAGTCATCGCTCCGCACTAATTGCTCACTTCTACGACATTAGCAAGGTGCTTCGTCACCAAGGCCCCGCGTTTTTCCATCTGAAACATGGGGGTGAGGATGTGTGTTATTTGTCCTCTAGGACAAGTGAGAACACAGGTGTGAAAGCATTCGAGGGGGACAGCAGCTAAAAACACACGCGTAGATATCCTGCAACTCAGAGACACGTTCTGCCTGTTAGCAGAGAGTTTACCTAGATTTCACATTTTTAAAAAATGTAATTTTTTGCTCTAACCGGTTTGGCTCAGTGGATAGAGCGTCGGCCTGCAGACTTAAGGGTCCCAGGTTCGATTCCGGTCGGGGCATGTGCCTTGGTTTCGGGCACATACCCAGTGGGGAGTGTGCAGGAGGCAGCTGATCGATGTTTCTCTCTCATCAATGTTTCTAACTCTCTATCCCTCTCCCTTCCTCTCTGTAAAAAAACCAATAAAATATATTTTTTAAGAAATGTAATTTTTTTTAAAGCTATCTCCACAAGAAGAGAACACTCATTCTCTTGGTTTTTTTTTTCTTTTTCTTTCGTTAATCCTCACCCAAGGATATGTTTTTATTGATTTTAGAGAGGAAGGGAAGAAGAGAGAGAGAGAAACATCTATGTGAGAGAGAAACATGGATTGGCTGCCTCCTGCACTCACCCTGACCTGGAACTGAACCCACAACCCAGGTATGTGCCCTGACTGGGAATCGAACCTACACTCCCTGGTGCACGGGATGATGCTCCAACCAACCGGGCCACCCGGCCAGGGCAAGTGCACAGCTTTACCTTGTCTGAGCAAGTGGGAGATTTGACAGCATGGGCTCATGTTAGGTTGCAGCCTGGTGGTTAGGAGTCACATGGGGTCATGAGCACAGGTTCAAGCCTCCCCGACCTTTGAAAAGCTGGGTCAAGTCCCTGAGCCTCTCTGTGCCTCAGTTTCTTCAACTCTGAAATGAGAATTTAATAGTCTTCCTCCCTCATTGGGTTGTGATAATTAACCGAGTGAATATTTATAAAGTGCTCAGAACAATGTTTGGCACAGGGCAAGAGCTGTGTCACTGGCCGAGTGAATAAATAACTGCATGTGGCAACACGCAGCGGGAGCTCACCTGCACCAGTTCACCGGTCTCCACCCAGACTCACTGGACTGTGGGACCCGCTGTACCCGGTAGATGTGGTCTCCCTCCTCGGGGCCAGGCCACCAGGAGCAGATACACTCAGTGTACAGTGGGGCCTTGACTTACAAGTGTCCCGACTAACGAGTTTGAGACACCAGCCGTCTCTCGGCCGATTTTTTGCTTTGAGTTGTGAGCTAAAATTCAGGTTATGAGCCAGCTTCAGATACCCCACCGCTAGTTGGCACAGGGAACGTCACAGTGAACGCCACAACATCAGCCCAGCATCACGTGTCTCACTCGTTCTCTTTTTGATTTGACATACGAGTAATTTGAGTTACGAGCTCCGTCATGGAACGAATTAAACTCGTAAGTCAAGGCCCCACTGTATCTCAGAGCGGTACTTCTCAAGCGACGCGTGGTGACGGACCAGCTTATTCTGAATCCACTGTGGACTGATGGGTGCCTTCCTGAACAGGACTGATACACAGCAACGCCACATGCAACTCCCGCAATGCACCACGGGTTCTGCAACACCCTCGCTGGTGGGCAGCTGGGCCCATAAATGAGCACAACAAGCATGCACTTGGGTGTTGTCAGATTGCTCTACGAGTCCCTAAACAGTGTCCTTTCAGTCCTTACCTCGCTGGGCACTGCGGCCAGCCTGGTCCTCAGGCCCTCGGAGTAGCGCCAGCTTAGGGAGCATCTTCACGTCGCCACACACACACACGAACAAGCCAGACAATGTGGCTGGAGAGGGTGGGTATTGGGTTCACTCTCTCTCTCCATCCTCTCCATGTCTACCCTTGACAGCTCTGTCCATGCCTCTTTTGTTGTTGTCTGCACACTAAAACCAGCTCCCTAATGAGAGTCTGGGCTCAGAACAACGGGTTGTGGACGTGTTGGTGCCCAGGCAGCACGGCTTCCAGCTCACAGCTGTCCCTCCTCCTGGATGTCGCCTTTGACCAGCAGGAGCTGCTTTGCCCCATGCCACACCCACAGCCTCGTGTCCCAGTCGCTTGCCAGCAGCCCAAACCCAATGCCCGACTGACATGGTGGTACCAACATCAGCCCCTTTTCTGCAAGAGGGAACCAACTGGGTGGCACCATCCCCAGAGCCCTGTGGGTTGGGCTGAAGCTGGCTGGCTCCTGTCCCCACAGCACCCTTCACTTGGCTCCTCCCCTCCCTGTCCTGTGTCCCCCTTCCCCCTCCTTGGAAGTACCCTCGACACATCACAGGCACCGGATGTCTGCCTCAGCTCTGCTTCTTGGGAACCCGGTCACAGAAGCCATCTGAGACTTGGGTGCATCTTCCCCAGTGACCTGCTGGTGGGGGCGCACAGTGGGACAGCATGCACACCCTGAGGACCGGCATCAGGTCACCCCGAGGTCATCCAGGCCGTGTGCCTGCCGGGGAACAGAACCTACCTGTGGTGTTAGACAGGGCCAGACTTGGGTGCATCTTCCCCAGTGACCTGCTGGTGGGCGCACAGTGGGACAGCATGCACACCCTGAGGACCCGCATCAGGTCACCCCGAGGTCATCCAGGCTGTGTGCCTGCCAGGGAACAGAACCTACCTGTGGTGTTAGACAGGGCTAGCGATTCCATGGAGCCCCGAGGGGTCTGCTCCGTGGGCGTCATGTCCTCGGTGTATTTCAGGGAACTGAGTGGACGGCGGGTCCGGCACTGCTGAGCGGACATGCCCCCTTCCTCCTCCTCCTCCTCCTCATATTTGGGGACCTGGATGCTGCCTCGGGCCTCGCTGAAGCTCTGACTGGACATGTCGCTGTAGCTCTCCTGGGACCGCAGCCTTCCCGGGTAGTAGTCCTCTCGGCACTCCTGGATGAAGCTGCCGCCGTGCCCCTTCAGGGCCAGGGACGAGCTCCTCTTGGGGTTGCTGAAGTGCGGGGCCCACATGTCGGGCGCCGCGCCCGCCCCCTGCGCCCCGGGGCTGTAGGAAGTTCTGATGTTGCACTGGCTGAGCAGCTGCAGGGGGCTCTGCGGCTGGCTCTGCTCCAGCTTGTTCCCGTAATGGAAGGGCTCGTCCCGGCTCCTCCAGATGGGGTCCCGGTTGAGGCTGGGTGTCTGGCTGGCCAGGCTGAGCAGGTCCATCTGCAGCGACAGGGGGTCCACGTCGGCGGACAGCCGGTTGGAGCTCACCTGCAGCTGGCCGTGCGGGCTCAGCACGGGCTCCTCCGTCTTGCCCTTGTTCTTGCCGATTTTGGCGCTGCGCCGGGACTCCTTGGCCCTGGCATTCTGGAAGGCTGAATCGGACGAGTCCGAGCCATTGGGGTCCTCCCCGGCGCTGCAGGCCCGGGAGCAGAATATCTGGCCCTGCTTGGGGAGGAAGGGCCGCCCGAGGAGGGACTTCTTGCAGTGAGCGCAGCAGAAGCAGGTCTCGGTGGCGTGCCAGTGCTGGCCGTCGTAGGTCATCTGGCCCTGGTCGATCCCTGAGGAGAGAAGACACGGGAGAGGCTGACGAGCGGCTCAGACTGTTCACTGCACTGTGAGACGTACACATGCTGGTGTGGCGGGGCTCCACCTGTGGCAGGATCCCATGTGATTACACCCGTGGTCAGGCCCCTCGTAAATGGTACTCATGTCCTATCACCCGCGCCTCCTTCTTGTTCTAGGCGGTTCCTTGTAACTCATTTGCTCTGAGTAGAGAAACTAGGTCAGAATGGCCTGCCATGAATCCTGCCCGGGGCACACTTCTCCAGACAAACAGCATCATGATACCAACGGAGGACAAATGCTTTGCATAGATGTAAACTCATACAACCCCTCCAGGGCATGAGGAGGTGCCTCACATCATTTCCATTTTTTTCAGATGAGAAAACAGGCACAGGAGGCTAGAGAACCAGCCGAATGTAACACAGCTGGGAGTCATAGATGGGATCTACCCAGGAAGCCTGGCCCTTCCCACGACATGGGTACCGCCTCCTTCACTCTACTTAGGGGTCTGCGCAAAGGTCAGCTCCTTGTGGAAGTTGTCCTGACCACCCCACTGACACCTCTCCATCACCCCCACCCACACCTGCTGCATTTCTCTTTACAGAATCATCCACCTGCCATCAGACTGCACATGTGCACCTGTCCACTAGTTCTCCCTCCACAGCAGCGAAGCTCTAGGACAGTGGTCGGCAAACTGCGGCTCTCGAGCCACATGCGGCTCTTTGGCCCCTTGAGTGTGGCTCTTCCACAAAATACTATAGGCAAAACTGTTCCATGCAGCATTGGAAGCATACTCTCATCCCTGGCAAACTTAAAGAGAGGTAGGAAAATCTCCTCAGATCTGGCTACATCAAAAGCGTGCAGCATATTCAGAAGGATGTCAGTGGAGTGCTGTTAGACTCCAGTGGTCGGCAAACTCATTCGTCAACAGAGCCAAATATCAACAGTACAACGATTGAAATTTCTTTTGAGAGCCAAATTTTTTAAACTTAAACTATATAGGTAGGTACATTGTTATTAACTTAATTAGGGTACTCCTAAGGCTTAGGAAGAGCCACACTCAAGGGGCCAAAGAGCTGCATGTGGCTCGCGAGCTGCAGTTTGCCGACCACGGCCCTAGGCAATGGCTCCATCTCTCTGTGCCTCCACGGCCCTAGGCAATGGCTCCATCTCTCTGTGCCTCCGTCTCTCCCTAAGGGAACAGGGGGTGATTGTAGCACTTACTTCATGGTTGTTGTGGGGATTGACAGAGTTAATATGAAGAGAATGCTAGACCCCTGACTGTAACTATTCTCACTGCTCGTCTTGTATTTTTTTAGGTCTTAATGCCTATCTCCCTCTTGGCTCTGATGGCCGCTGCCTGGACGCAGGCCAGGGGCGAACTCAGGCTGACTTGGTCTCTCCGCCTCTCTCTCTCCTCTCCTCCAGGGACCCGAGCTGCCCTCCCGGCTGCCCTGGGCCCTCACTGTGGGCTCCTGCTCAGCACAGATCCCCGCAGCTGCAGCCTCCCCTCCCATCACAGGCCTGTCCTCCACCCGCTTCTCCATGCTTCTCTGTGCTTCTGCGAGGAAACATGCTCAGATAGGCAGCAGGGGCCTCCTTCTGGGGTGGGGGCCTCGCAGAAGGCTGGGTCTCTGTGGGGAGGGGCCGGGAGGTGTGTTACAAAGTGGGGAGGGGACGGGGAGGCGTGTTACAAAGTGGGGAGGCGTGTTACAAAGTGGCCCAGCCGGCAGCGGAACGTGGTCCCTGATAAACATCAGCAACAGTCACATGGTGCCCTGAACTGCCCCTGAACTCTGAACATCTGGAAAGGGCTCTGCCGGTCCAGGGAAGTAAGTGCTCTTTCCTCTCCCCTCTAAGCCCTTTAAGTACTTCTCTGAGGGTGATGTGTCTACTGCTGCCACAGCCGCCCTCTGTTTATAGGACTGTTTGCTGTGCGCAGGCAAAAGTACCGTTGCCCTAGCAACGGCTGCCTGATGCAGGTCTGCTCTGAGCAGCTATATAAATACGGAATATTTGCAGAATGTGGTCAGAGTAAAGCACCAGGGACTGTGGTATGCATGATACACAGAGCATACCTTTCACCGCTGCAGGAAATTATGTTTTACAGAAAAGTGGACCTAGAACAAAAAAAATCAGGGGCAGCGTTTTAACGCAGCAGGGACAGTTCTGCAGGCCACGGAGCGCTTTTCTGGTAAAACACGCACGCCTTTTTATGGATTTAGGAGGAAAGAAGAGGGAACGCCAATCACCGTTCTCGAATAGCTAGAAGTGAGGAGAGAAGGCGGGGCCTTCTGAGGGGCGGGGCTGTGGGCACGGTCAGGTTTTCTCTCTTCGTGCCACTGAGCGCCATCTGCAGTGGCAGTGTCTGGAGCGGCTCTGATGCCCCCCCCCCCCGGAGAGGGACAGAAGACGCAGAAACACTGATGAGAAGGGGCATCGCTGCTGTGAGCACGTTTTCTGTACACTCAGCCCCTCTCACCTGAGCAAGCACCTACTTGCAGACTCAGAACCCACAGCGAGAATGTGGGCAGGTAGGTGGTCTGTCTCCCCTGACAGCATCCCACCCCCGCCCTTCCTCACGGGCCCAGACACTTGTCCAAACCAGGGTCCCCATTCCCTAACACTTACCGTTCAAGGAAGCTTGTCTCTGACTGCTCTGACCTTGTGAGAGTGAAAGCTGTGGGATTCTTGGTTGACTCCAGGCCCTGGAGATGAGGTGTTTAGGGCTGGGGGAGGAACCGGGGCGTCCCTCAGGCCCCAGGAGGGAATGCTGCTGGGCAGAGGTCAGCATAGTGATGCTAAGCCCTGGGCCTGGCAGGGCCGCCAGCCCGGGAAGGCCTCCCAGCAGCAGGCCGTTTGGGATGGACACCCGACAACAAAGGACTGAGCACACGTAGGTGCCTTGTCCACAAAGCTGTGATTTCTATCCACACACGAAACCCTCCAAATGACTAGCTGATTTTTCATTTGAATGCATCACTTCTGATGAACCAGGGAAGCATATCAAACTCACGGCCCACGGGCAACATGCCTCGTTTATTTGGCCCCTGTTAGCCTTTGAGTTTGACATGCTTGAACCAGGAGACAGCCACTTCTCCCTGTTCCTGATGAAATCTCTGACTTCCTCCCCATCGACCCACCGCAGGTGAGACGCTGGCAGTGTCTGAGCACGTTGCCTGGAATTGCACAAACCACAGGAAGACCAGCTGCTGGCCTCACAGACCTTCATCCCCAGCCAGCTTTTCTTTCTTTTTAAAGGGCAGCTGTTTCTCAAGGTGCCAGAACAGGCAAGTTGAAGGAAGAAGCCACAGATGACCGGAATGGCGTTGGACGGCGAACAAATTGGTTAGTATTTGCAAAGGGAAAATGATTTTCACCATCTCAGAACTGCCACTTATTTGGGGAGTTTATAGCTTATGGGCTATTTGAGGTTTTCTTGCTTATATTTGGCTGGGTCAGCCTTTTTTTCTTTTAGACATGCTTGCCAGAAGCCGTTTGGTTTTCTTGACTATCCTACCAAGAAAGCTGCTTTGGTTCCTCCCTCTATTAACACTCGAGTTTTCCAGAGAGGCAGTGGAAGACATCTGTTTATATTTTCCTTCTGAGCCCCTCCCCTTCCCTTGGTAGTGAGGCTGTACATCACATGTCCCACCCAGGGGTGGGGCTATGACTCAGGCAGACCAATAGGAAGCCCTTATTCTCTTGTTTCCAGAGCAGAACACATGACCAGACCAGGGTCTATGGGGCTCCTATATAGAGAACCTGACTTGGATACTGGAAGAACACAGCCCCACTCCTCTACAGGATACAGTTGCTAAGATGCACATAATTGGAGGGTCATCGTGGCCACCATGAGAAGGCAGCTTGCTCCCGAAGGATGCCAACAGAAGGCAAGCCGAGGAGAGACACAGAGGGAGAAAAAGAGTTTGTTTAAACCCTTGATCCATCTCTACCTGATGTCAACATACTCCTTGGCCTTTCTAGTAATGTACGCCAAGAGAGTCCCTTTATTCACTTACGCTAGTATGAGTTGGGTTTCTACCATTTGCACCCAAAGGGATTCTAACGACACCAGACACAGTGAAGGTCCAGTCCCAGGAGGCCCGGGCTGAGCCCCACACGTAGCCTCACCTATGTGTTGGGCACAGGTGTCGCAGTATTCCGCATACAAGGACTCAAAGCAGTGGCAACAGTAGGGCCTTCCCTCCTTCATGATGTAGCGCTGGCCGCCCAGCACCGTCTCGCACTCGAAGCAGCAAAAGTGTTTCATGTGCCAGTGCCGCCCCTCGGCTTCGGTGCATTCGTCAGCGAAGATGATCTGGAGGTGGGGAAGCCAGATGGTTAGGACCCGGCCAGGAGAATGCACGTTACATGAGGACAGGGAGAGTCCCAGACTAGAAGGGTGGGAAAGCTGTCCCCCCGACAAGTTGTTAAACAGAAGTGGATCAGAATATGCTCATTCTATACCTAATCAGCTCCCACATTTGGATTTGCCTGAAGTACAATTAAACACGGTTTTCAGTCTGGCCTTGTAATTAGTTTAACCACATTTTAATAAGAGAAAGAATGTTCTAAATATGAAGAATATAGAGCAGGACCCAAAACTGACAGCTCATGGGCACTTTGAACATACGTATCTGTTTTACCTGACCTATACTTTTAAAAAGTGGGAAATGCCATATAAACATCTGGAATCCTGGTTTATCTTTTGAGTATATCATATGTGGCAACACGCAGTGTATGCCCCCGTGTAGCTGAGTAGCTGGGGCGGGAAGAGGGGCTGCTGCTCCCAGGTGAGTGGTGAGTTCTCAGTTTGGTCCTACTCGTCACCACTCCCTGTTGCCTTAACATGAGCCACCTTCATGTGCAATATCTGTTGCCCTCAGAGCATTTGTGTTTTGACCTTTAATGTAGAGTTTTTAAAAATCTAAAGCATAGATTTAAAAGCTTCCTACAAACTACAGTAATCAAGACAGTGGGTACTGGTATAAGAATAGACATGTAGATCAACAGAATAGAATTGGAAGTACAGAAATAAACCCAAACATTTATGGCCAATTAAATATCAACAAGGGTGTCAAGGACATTCAATTGGGGAAGAATAGTCTCTTCAACAAATGGGGCTGGGACAAGTGGAGAGCCACATGCAAAAGAATGAATCAGAACCCCTACCTCACACTACACACTATAGGAACTCAAAGGGATTAAAGACCTAAAGAGCCAAAAACTATAAAATACCCAGAAGAAAACACAGGTATAAATGTTCATGACCTTGCATTAGGCAATGGTTTCTTAGGTATGATACACTAAAAACGTAAGCAACAAAAGAAAAAATATATAAATTGGACCTTATCCAAGTTAAATTGTTTTGTGTTTCAAAGGACATCTTCAGGAAAATGAAAGCATAACCACAAAATGGGAGAAAGTACTTGCAAATCATGTATCTGATAAGAAACTAGTATCCACAATATATAAATAGTTACAATTCGACAGTGAAAAGAAAATCACATAATTTAAAAAAATGGGCCAAGGATTTGAATAGACTTTTCTTAAAAAAAGAAAAATACACAAATGGCCAATAAACACATGAAAAGATGCTCAACATTATTAGCTGTTAAGGATATGCGAGGCACAACCACTTTACAGCCACTAAGGTGACTATAATAAAAAAGATAAGCAATAAATGTTGAGAATGTGGAGAAATTGGAATCCTCATTTATTGACAGTGGGAATGTAAAATGGTGTAGCTGTTCTGGAAGAAAGTTTGGATTCCCTCAAAAAATTAAACAGAATTTTCATATGACCCAGCAATTCCATTCCTAGAGAACTAGAAATATGTGTCCGCACAAAAACTTGTACATGAATGTTCATAGCAGCATTGTTCATAATTGTTTAAAAGTGGGAACAACTTAAATGTCCATCAATTGAAAAATGGCTAAACAAAATGTGACATATGCATACGACTGAATATCATTCAGCCATGGAAAGGAATACAGTACCGATATAGGCTACAGCCTGTATTAACCTTGAGCACATCATGCTAAGTGAAAGAAGCCAGAGACAAAAGGTTACACATTGTCTGGCTCCATTTATATAAAATGTCTAGAATATGTAAACCCATAGAGACAGAGACTAGATTAGTGGTTTCCAGGGGCTGGGTGAAGGGGCAAAGGGAAGTTTGTGCTAATAGACAGAGTTCCTTTCAGAGAGGGGGTGGGGGGTGATACAAATGATCTGGGATTGGATAGTAGTGATGGTTGCACAACTCTGTGACTATATTAAAAATCACTGAATGTACGCACTTGAAAGGGGTGAACCTTATGCTCTGTGAATTACATCTCAATAAACAAACATTTCAAAGCTCTTAAAGCAGTGGTTCTCAACCTTCCTAATGCCGCGACCCTTTAATACAGTTCCTCATGTTGTGGTGACCCCCAACCATAAAATTATTTTCGTTGCTACTTCATAACTGTAATTTTGCTAGTTATGAATCGTAATGTAAATATCTGATATGCTGGATGTATTTTCATTGTTACAAATTGAATGTAATTAAAGCATAGTGATTAATCACAAAAACAATATGTAATTATATATGTTTTCCGATGGTCTTAGGCAACCCCTGTGAAAGGGTCGTTCGACCCCCAAAGGGGTGGCGACCCACAGGTTGAGAACCGCTGTCTTAAAGCATCATGTTCTATTTGCCATTAAGTAACATAATGCTGTGTTATGAGCACTCATTTCCAGATTTGGAAACTGAGGCATGAAGGTAAAGTGGCTGCCTAGAATCACCGAGCTGGACCTGAACTGTTTCCCGACTACTTGTCTAGTGGGTCTCTCTAGAACAGGGGTCCTCAAACTACGGCCCGCGGGCCACATGCAAACACAAATATTGTATTTGTTCCCGTTTTGTATTTTTACTTTAAAATAAGATATGTGCAGTGTGCATAGAAATTTGTTCATAGTTTTTTTTTAAACTATAGTCCGGCCCTCCAATGGTCTGAGGGACAGTGAACTGGCCCCCTGTTTAAAAAGTTTGAGGACCCCTGCTCTAGAACATCACCATTAGCATTAGAATCCAAATTAGTTAAGGCTGATCAACTTCCTCCTCGAAGAGCGAATCTCTCCTGGACAATTTATAAGGAAGAACTGCCCAGGGGGTAGTGAACTCTGGCTAAAAAAGACAGTATTGTTTATACAGTCCCACATTTCTCTTATAGGGTAGAGAGAACCAAAAATCCACTCTGTGCAGGAGGAAACCCCTGTCCAAGACCTTTCCCCCGATGAATCCCATAATAGTGGTCAGCTTTAGAACATTCTCCTTTCTGCTCCAAACTCTTACAAATTTTTTTTTAATTGAGCCTATAAGCTCCAAACCTTTAGAGTTAAACGAGGTGTTCTAGTCTTCCAGTTCCCAGGTCATACCTGGGTGTGCTTCCGGTGGGAGGAAGCACAGGCCTGGCTTGTGTTCCTGTCTGCTGTCTTACTCCGGGTAGCAAATTCAAGTTCTTAGAGTGCAGGCAGAGGTCTCCAAAGGCAGTATCCATCTGCCTCCTGGATCCTCATCAGAACTTTTATAAATTGTGGGAAAATGAAATAATGCTACCAGCTTTCTTCTCAAACCAATCTGTCCCTCTGAAGCTCAGAAAACAGAGCTTTTAAAGATATAAGTGGCACATCATTAGTGATGATTACTCCCTGGGATTTGGGCTGAAATCTAAAGCTGCACGATACCATGGTTCTTTTCTTTAACATTCTGAATGGACCCAATGCCAGGAGTCACCTCAGCTACAGAAACCAACTGCCTTCCCACTGGGTCCATGAGGCTGTGCGTTCAGTGATGCAGGCCACGTCCCCGGCAGGCCAGCCACCCGGGATGGGGGACTTCTCTCGGGAAAGGGTTAGTATAGGAAGGCGGAGTGGCCTGTGGTTTTCCTCCCTGCAGAAAACCACAGCCCTTCCCCGCCTACCCCAACTCCCCCAACTCCCCTGTGTGGGTTATGCCACAGCGGGCTGCGGGCAGGGCTGCTAGCCCACGGGAGCGCACTGACCTCGTCACAGGCTGCACAGCGCGGCTTCAGGCACTCGGCGTGGTGCCGGCCGCAGTAGATCTTGCCATCCTGGTAGAAGTAGATCAAGTCCACCAGGAGCTCGTTGCAGACGGTGCATATGAAGCAGGGCGGGTGCCAGCAAACCCCGTGGCCGGCGCGGGACGCGAACACGGCGATGTCCCCGCCGTTAATCTGGCCTCCGCACTGCGAGGCAAAGGAAACCTGAGTGTGAACAGCGCTCCCATCGCTCATACCGCGCACAGGTGACAAACGGCCTCCACCTCCACCCATAATCGACCATAAGCACTTATGTTCCCACGAGGCCCTGTGCGACCTGCTTTACATACGTGCTGCCTCCCCCTCTCTCCTTGCGTAGGGCCACCAAGTAAGATGAAGATTAAGTAACTGAGCAAATCAGGACTCACAAAGGCGGGAGAGAGGAAAACTCTGCATCAGAAGGCACACTTACACAAACTCCATCTGGAGGCACAGACAAGGTTAAGAGGAGGAGGAGGAGGAGGCTGTGGGGGCTGAGGGGGGGAGAGGGGCCTTAAGGTGATAAGGGGACTGGGTTCATTCAAATGTGCCCGCCTTTAACTATTTCTCTGACAGTCTTTCAGGCCTGCTCTTCGCCTGCCTCCGCTAGCATCCTTTTACATAATCCTGATTGAAAAGGCACCACTTCTAAGACCAGCCTCTGGAAAGGGCTTCTTCCCTGTCCCTCCGTCATCTTCCCACGCACGTCCCCAAGCTCCTTCCCCATCCAGAAAGGGGCAAGGCAGAGTCCCAGGTAGACCGTGCTTAAGGCTGGGGTTGGGGTAAAACAGATATGGTCTGAGGGCCTTTGAGGGAGGACTTAAGTGTGAGGCAGTGGGTCCGAGGGCAGGCTCTCTGCTGACCACGGTGTTGGCATGAGGTTCACAGCCTGAGGGTCCAGTAACAGGGCCTCACATGAGGGCCAGAGCTTTGGGGACATTGTCTGCAGAGCAGAAACACTACCTCCTAACCTTTCCTACATCATGGGCCTCCCATGGATTGAACTTCTTTCTAGAAAAAGGAGTAAAGAGCTCATGGAACTGGCTCTGGGAGCCCGACCATGTGATCAGACAGAGGAAAGACTATGCTACAAAAAGCACTAACCGTTCCTCTTATAACAGTAGCACGCTGTTAACAGGTAAACTGAGGTACAGTCAAAATTTCAAGAGTTTACTTGAGCAAATGCTGAATTGTGTTGGGCAGCACCAAACTGGAGGTGGTTGGCGCGCCCCACGGATGGGAGCTCGAGGGCAGGTTCTTACAGAAAAGAGGTGGAAGCAGAGAAAGCAGTGGTTTGAGAGGCTGTAACGTAAGCAGTCACCTTATTTGGGAAAGCCTGATTCACCTCCCATGGGTTGAACTGCTTTCTAGAAAAAGGAGTAAAGAGCTCATGGAACTGGCTCTGGGAGCCCGATCATGTGATCAGACAGAGGAAAGACTATGCTACAAAAAGCACTAACACTTCCTCTTATAACATTAGTGCAGTGATGGCGAACCTATGACACACGGGCCAGAGGTGACACTCGAACTCATTTTTTTGGCTGATTTTTCTTTGTTAAATGGCATTTAAATATATAAAATAAATATCAAAAATATGTCTTTGTTTTACCATGGTTGCAAATATCAAAAAATTTCTATATGTGACACGGCACCAGAGTTAAGTTAGGGTTTTTCAAAATGCTGACACGCCGACCTCAAAAGGTTCGCCATCACTGCATTAGTAGAACTGGGGCAGCACACTGTTAACAGGTAAACTGAGGCACATTCAAAATTTCAAGAGTTTACTTGAGCAAATGCTGAATCGTGTTGGGCAGCACCAAACTGGAGGTGGTTGGAGCGCCTCACGGATGGGAGCTCGGGGGCAGGTTCTTACAGAAAAGAGGCGGAAGCAGAGAAAGCAGTGGTTTGAGTGGCTGCAACTTAAGCAGTCGTCTTATTTGGGAAAGCCTGATTCGAATTTGTGATTGACTGTTCTTAAGTTTCGTTTTCTTGGATTCTGGTACATTGATTCTGGCCTAGGTTTTGGTTTGCTACCATACAAAGTACTAGAGCCACCTCAGTGTAATGGCCTCTTTGTTTAATTACCTTAACGATACAGAATCCCATTTAATCTCAACATCATTCTATGACATAGGCATTTGCTATCCCCATTCATGGCCAAGGTCATCTGGGAGAAGCATGAGTCAAACTTACATCTCTCTGTCCCCACACGCTTGTCACTATTCTATCCTACTTTTGACATCTTCCCACAAATGCCCAACCTTCCTCTGTCTTAGGTGAGCCCCACTGGGCTGCCTCTGGGAGAGGCAGAGGTCCTGCATTGAGCTCACTGAGTCCCACATCTTAACCGCTGATGACCTGCATCTCCAGGTGGGTCTTAAGGATGAAGACCCCACTGCCAAAAATCTGGTCCTTTGGCTCCCCTATGAAGTACTACCTTCATTCCATCCACCTGAATCTTCTCATTCTATCCCTCTGAAATCTCAAAAACAAAAAAAAAACACCCAAATGTCACCCTGCCCCCTCAGGTACTATCTTGGTTTCTCATCTCTGATCTGGCTTACGTATCTTCAGCACATGAACCGGCCCCTTTAGTCCAGGGGTGGGGAATCTCTGGGAGAGGCAGAGGTCCTGCATTGAGCTCACTGAGTCCCACATCTTAACCGCTGATGACCTGCATCTCCAGGTGGGTCTTAAGGATGAAGACCCCACTGCTAAAAATCTGGTCCTTTGGCTCCCCTATGAAGTATTACCTTCATTCCATCCACCTGAATCTTCTTACTCTATCCCTCTGAAATCTCAAAAACAAAACAAAAAAAACCCCCAAATGTCACCCTGCCCCCTCTGGTACTATCTTGGTTTCTCGTCTCTGATCTGGCTCACGTATCTTCAGCACATGAACTGGCCCCTTTAGTCCAGGGGTGGGGAACCTTTTTTCCGCCAAGGGCTATCTGGGTATTTCTAGCATCATTCGAAGGCCATACAAAATTATCAACTTAAAGATTAGCCTCCTATATTTGGTCAAACATTTAATTAACTCACCCCTAATGCCTTGGCAGGGCCAGACCAAATGATTTCTCGGGCCTTATACGGCCCGCGGACTGGACATTCCCCACCCCTGCTTTAGAGCTTAGGCAGTTAGACGGGCCTGTACAAAAAGCACAGGGCTAAGCAAAGTGCTGAAAATGACAGTCAGCACAGAAGGCTTTTGGCAGGGTGAACACAGACAGGCTGGGTTCCCACCACCTTGCTTTCTTTTTATTTTTTCAATTGATGAGAGAGAGAGAGAGAGAGAGAGAGAGAGAGAGAAAGGAAGAGAGAGAAAGGGGAAGAGAGAGAGAGAGCCTGGCCGCCTTTTGCATGCACCCTGACAGGGAATTGACCCTGTCACCTTCCGGCGTACAGGATGACACTCTGACCAACTGGGCCCCACTGGCCAGAGCAATCGCCACTGTCCTGCTTTCCTTAAAACCCTCCTCCGCCATCCCCTGAGAGTAGGAGGAAAACAAACCCAGACGCTTCAAGCAGTGAGGTCCCAGGGAGATTGCAGGGGCCTTCCTGCACTTTGCTAACGAGCCCTCAAACCAAGCGGATGACCATTTACCACCCTGTAAATGTCACGGTCCTGGGAAAGAGGCTGGCCCGGTCCAGGCAAACTCCACTTTCTAAAGGACGCATTTAAAATATAAACCCAGCATATGTCAATCCTTGGCGCAACTCTTTCCAATGGACACTTAACCCCCAGGCCCTGGCCCTCTGTCAGTTCTCCTCCTTCACGCCCTCTGCCCTGCCACCCTGGCCCACAGGAATGTCCTGCCTCAGGGCCCGTGGGCCCTCTGTCCCCTCTGCCCCCGCTGCCCCTCCCCAAGGCCTACGTGCTTCCCTCTCTCAGTTCTGGCTTGTCTTTGCTCAGAAGCCACCTACTAAGGGGCCCAGACACTTTATGAGAACGGCAACCCCACCCCCACTCCCAGCACTTCCTAACCCCTTCCCTGCTGTATTTTTTTCTATCCTGCTTATTTATGTTATTGTCCGACTTGCCCCTCTGCCCCCGCTGCCCCTCCCCAAGGCCTACGTGCTTCCCTCTCTCAGTTCTGGCTTGTCTTTGCTCAGAAGCCACCTACTAAGGGGCCCAGCCACTTTATGAGAACGGCAACCCCACCCCCACTCCCAGCACTTCCTAACCCCTTCCCTGCTGTATTTTTTTCTATCCTGCTTATTTATGTTATTGTCTGACTTTCCCCCCTAGAACATAACTCCTCACAAGGGCAAGATGAAGCTTTTAAACGTTTGTTCACTGCTGTATCCCCCTGCCCAGAACAGCGGCTGGCTCAAGCAGGCACTCAGAAAGTGAGCGTGAAGGGCGAGGCCGGGGAAAGCCAGCCGGGCAGTCCTACCTCCATGCTCACCTGTTCGCAAATGGCTCCCGTCATGGTGACTGGGAAGGGCCTGACATTCCCTCGGCCCAAGTTCTCGCGCTTCCTCTGGTTGCTGAAGAGCTTCAGCTCCCGCTTCTCTTCCTCATCCAGGGAGTTGCAGTATCGGACCTGAAGGGACACAGAGGTGGCACGGAAGAGTCACTCTTCGCTCTCCCCTTAGGATTCTGAAGCTCAGGCCTCAGTTTTCTCAGCAAACGCGCTCCTGTTTGGTGTTAGGGTCCTGGCCTGGACTTGAACACGGCCAGGCTTGGGGACATCTGAAATGCGTCTCTACCTAAAGGAGCTGACTAAAGGCACCAAACTCTGGAGCCCAAGGCTCGGGCAGGATGAAGGTCCGTAGCTGTTCCTCATCCTCACTGCCTCACTCTGCTCCCCACACTGAGCCCCCACTCCCAGATCTGGGACTTTCTCCTTCTTTCAAATGGATTTGCATCTTCAAACTGATTGTGGGGTCCTGATACTTTCATGGCCGGTGCCCAGGTAAGTGGTCCTTGACACCAATGATGGCCCCCGGCCAGCGAGCCAGAACCATTGTCAGTGGGCTCATAGCTTCTCTTCTCCCAAATCATTATTGGGAAAATGGGGAACCAAAGGCTTGAGACTGAAGAGTTGGCTCAAAAGCATCTGTTGCTTCATGGGAGTCCCTGCCTGCTTCTCTGTGAGTCGGAGGGAAAAGCCGCCTGCTGGGCTTTGGTTAACGCATCAACTTGCATTAAGCTATGATCCTTCTTGTCAGACACAGACACACAAGTAAGGGAGGGACATCAAAGACATTCAATCCAGTATTTCCATTTCTTCCCTTACGTCTGCACACCTTGAGAATTTTGTCAGAGTCTTGAACTATTACCTACTTAATGGTACTGTTGTGATTAATAATAGGAAATTATTAATAACAAGAGAGGAGCAAAAGGAAGGCCAAATATTATGGGCATGTCATTTGGGCAGTTTCGCCAGAAGCTAAAACCTTACACTCCCCAGTGGTCCAGCAAAGGGGTGGCAGACAAATGCTCAGTAAAGTTGGGGGGTGACTGCTGCAGGTGCTTTCCTGTTAGTCACACCTGGGAGGTCGCTGGCCAGGGTAGGCACACTGCTGCAGGTGCTTTCCTGTTAGTCACACCTGGGAGCAGGTCGCTGGCCAGGGGAGGCATGGCCACCACAAAGGCGTGACATTTGGGATATTTGGTCCCTGAACAAAGGAGTTCGCTCTCTTCATTCCTCGTGGCGCTCTTGTTTTCTCTAGCTCTTGGTGTGTTTGGTTGACTCCTGGCTTGTGGGGCTCCCCTGCATTCCCCTACATGGCCCACGGCCATGCGCTCCCCACACACAATGGACTAATGGACGGCAGCTGGCCTGATGCTGAAGTGGACCCGGCTCCAACATGGAAGGAAAGCTAGACACTGGCTCTGGCTTTAGCTCTACTGAAGCCCCACCTACACTCCTTCCGGGACTGGACTGAGGGGAAGGGGACTTTGGAGACCCAGGGATGTAATTCCACGCAAAGAAAAATCACTCATTCTCCCGTGCGAGTCTCAGAAAAGTCTTTCTCTCAAGATGTTGTAAGGACACCACCCCCAGCCCTCAGTGAGGAAAGGGAGACCCCACTTCCACCGATAACACTTAATACTGTTTTAACACTGACTGACTCACTTTTTAAAACTTGACTAGGTTTACTTAAAAAGAAAGTACATTATGATTATAAATGGCAAACCTGTATTACCTGTAAAAATCAGAGGGCAAACATAAACTAAATAGAGTGAGAACGGAACCACATGGTTAGATTCTACCTGGATACCTCTGCCTGTGGGAGGTCCCGAAATGCGGATTCTTAATGCTGCAGCTTCCAAGCAACAGCTGCTGCCCCACCTGAACTGTCTCTCCCTTCATTATCCACGAAGAATGAAATACAACTTACGAGGAAGTGCTCTCTCATTACATGGTTCAGTTTTACACACTGCCTTCCCGTGTCCCACCTCAAGTCCCGTGCCCACCACACTTTGGCAAACAGTGCCCTGACCCCACCGCCTGCCTCACTTCAGAATAATCTGAGCATCAGAAGGTTAACTGAGATGCTCAGATGCCTGTCAGCCAGATGGCTCCAGGGGGCCTTTGAACTAGGCTGGTGCGGCCTAATTTAAAAACCAGGGCGGCTGCAGATATCAAAACTGTCTTCTCTGGGTGAAAAAAGAATGATCAAATGTTTACGTTAGGCTCACCCTTTGTTCCCCACAGGGCCACGTCTAAATGGGTGAAACTGCCTCCTGGGCCCCATGGAAGGAATTCTCACCAGCAGGAAGAGGGGATTTGAAAGGTCTCTTTTCATGAAACCACAGTTAACCTTAAACAGAATAAACCATTAAAAGCAGAACAGAGCGGAACAGGTCCCTCTGTCACGTAAAAAGTTAACAGAAAAAGAAACTGTCTTCATGTGGATGCTTCTCCCCGGGAGAGAACCCAGGGCCCCCAGCAGCCCGGACTATATGGTTACTGACACTTTATGGACAAGCTTTTAAAGACAGGCACACCCCTCCTGCTTGTAAAAACCCGCATTTTCACTTCCAAGTTAGTTAACTGGGCATCAGGTTACAAGGTTTGCTCTCGGCTTTAAAGAGGAAGCATTATTTATACACTTTTTAAACGAAGTCTGAAATGAACACTAGGAAAGGGAATCACGGCCCTCTTTCTAGGAGCTGCCTCAGCGTGTAAGCTTTTGCTCCACTTATCACTTATTCAAATTTACTTTCGTGGCTCCTGATTTAACCTTTTCTTTCAGATGTGGGGAGGTAAAGACTAAAAAGCACTCAGTCATTTCCCTGGTATCCAGCTTGCGGGTGGGGCAGTGGGTAGCTGGTGTCTCACCAAGGGGTTACCTTTCTTTTCAATCGAAAATCTTGTTTCTGTTTAAAATGTAATCCAGTTCAGTGGACAATTCAATTCTATGGGATTACAATTTTTACAAACCCGATACTTAAAAATTAATGGTTAGTTTACAAATCTAAACCCCTCAAGCATGAGGAGCTTTTAAAAGCATATTTACAAATGTCCCTTTAGGATCAATTTATCTCCCAAGATAAATGCCTGCTCACAGCGCTGTGGGTGTGGGTTCAGAGAATAGGACAGCCTGCAAGCCAGACTTTCAAGGGTGCAAAGGGTGACCTCAGCAAGTTGGACTTTAAACGACAAAAACACAGATTTTCAGAGCTGCACATCTGAGCACAGAACGTCTGCTGCCGTGGAGCGTGGGAAATGTGCGCACTCATTTAACGTGAGATGAGGCTGAAAATTCAAGAGAGTCACAAAGTCTTTGCAGGGTTTGAACTGCCCAGGGAATCTCAACCGTCCCAGATGCTCAGGAAACCAGCCTCGCCCATTCTTCTTCAACTAAGGAAGCCTGAACTCTGCCTTCAAACTTTCGTGCTCCCTGGTTAACCTCAGAGTGCTTGCAGTGCCAGGCGAATCCAGCCCATACTGAGATTTTGCTTTTTGGTAATGCTCTCCAGAAGGTGTCTGAGAGCTGTGTTTGGCTCTAATTAAGGAAGCTAAAACCTAAACTATTCAGGGAAGGTTCTAAGGAAGGCTTCCTAAGGCCCCCCAGCCCCTTACCTCATTGTCATGCGGCGGCAGCTGGTGTAATAGCTGCTTGATCCTCAGCTTCTCCCCGGGACTGTTGACATAAGGAACCTTCTCTTCTGGGAGACAGCTGTAGTACTGGTGAACCTGCGGGTGAAAAGTGTACAGGTGACCGGCCCGTTCCGCTGTCTGAGATGATTCCCACAGCAGGACACAGGCTACGTCCCGCTGGCCCACCCTGCGCGGAACACAACGGCATGCGTTTCTCACTGCCAGCAGAGAAACTCCTTCTTCAGGAAAGAGCCCAGCAAATCCCCCATCTCTTGGGGGCTTTCCCTCTCTCTCCAAGGGAAAAACAAAAGCCAGCGAACTCTCCTGGAAGAAGAGAAATCGGCAACCATGCTGGCGAACCCGGAGGCTAGGGCTCTCTCCGGCTCCGGCTCCGGAGCTGACTTTACCATTTTCCCTGCTCGTCTCCAGCGTGTAACATGCCTCCCGAGCCAGCGGGATATGTCAGTGCCTGCCCTGGCAGCGCTGGAGTCAGAGCCCGTTTCTGGCACTCACATCCCTCAGCCGCCTCCTACGTGCAAAGCCCTCCAGGCCCTGAGCCCTATGTGAGGACAGGCAGCAGCTCCCATCTGTCAGAGCCCCTGAATCTGGATACAGAGCATGTAGTGAAAAATCGTCAGTAATAGGAGTATTTCTGTCCATCCTAGAATGCTCCTGCTGATGACAGGGCAGATTCGGGCACTTTCTAAGCCAGGTTAACCCTAACGATGACTTTGGGAAGCACCAAGCACCTATTTTTGTCTGAGAAAAGAAAACATTCTGTCATCCAGCTGCATGCAAAACTAGGGAAAGGAAAAACTGACCCAAACCGGTGGTATGCTATTATATAGGAGAGACAAAAACAAACAAACAAACAAACAAACAAAAAACCACGCACGCTCAGATGACATCATGGAAAATACTTTCCAGCTATCTCTTAGGAGCATCATGACCAGCTCTTGAGAAACAAGGCATTCATTCAATAACAGAGAAGAAAGACGACTTGGGGCTCTAAGTTCATCATGCTCGTCACAGTCCACAAACTTGGTCGAACTCCCAAGTTTAGGGAGTCTTGGATATGCACACCGCTTTGGGAATGCTGGGACGAAGAGTTAAGACAGCTCTGTCTACTCTGATCTCCAGAAAGGAAGTCGTAAGCAGTAGAAGAGAGGGGAGGAAAGGCTTTGCAATGACAAGGCCTTAAAAAATGTGAAAGCCATCTTTATTTTCCTAACAAATAATCGCAACCATTCACCATCATGTGCATATCATCCTCTTAATCAAATCCCAAAGGCAACCGTAAACAGACTTCTTGTCCTAGACCAGTTGGCTCGGGGAGGCCGGGCCTCTGCAAGGCTCCCTGCAGGCACCTGGTGGGGAGCCACGTCCTGGGAGGGGGGGACCACTCCAGGTTCTGTGCCGCCCACAGGTTCCCGGCACTCTCCAGAGAAGAAATAAAAGGCCAGATGATGAGTCGTTTGGAAATTAGAAGCTGGTGCTGAGCCCCTCAGAGGAGCGGCACCATATGGCTCCTCAGGTAAGTGCCAGGTATGAAAAGCAGACCCCGTCTTCGCGTCTTGGAGAAGGGCTTTGCCTCCCAAGCCAAATAATTGCTGGTAGAAAGGCCTCGTTGCAACCTCACTTGGCAGTTCTCACAACACCCATGATGGTTCCGGAACGGTAGGGACAAATGCGGACATCGAGTGAATCGCTGTGGGTACTTGATAGTGAACTAACTTGAGCTGTGCCCCCCTCATTATTCACATAGCCCCCTCTTCACTGCCCAGAACAAAGTCGTCCCTGAGAGCCCTTCTGATCGAGCGCCTGAGCCAGGCCCTCTCTGCTACTGTCCACAGCTGGCCCAGGTTGGAGTCTTCCCCGCACCGTCTGCGTCATGGCCAGGGAGACCCGCACCCCAGCCCGGCTCGACCATGCTCTACGCCTGTGTCCTCAGCAAGTTACATTAACCACGCAGAAGCCTCATTGGAACATCGGGGCAATGCAGTGAGGGCGTAGGCAGAGCATTTGCCCCCGAATAGCAACACATGACATGAATGTACAGCAATCAGTATGTTATCTAGCCTGGCATACTCCACATGGAACAATCCAGAGGCTTCCTGGACTTCCTTCCATTTGAAAATGCAGGGCAACACTGTCAGCTTGTAGAGTTAGACCGAACCCCGCCCCTCCCCACTCATTTCAGTCTAAGCAAGAAGGTGGCAAGGAATAAAATGCTACTTGAGCTAGTTTGATTGCGGGGATAAAATGGAAAATTATTATAAAGGTGTGATGTTTTCTCCAGAAACCCAGCAGTACCCCCGGGCCTCACGAGGAAACGAAGCCTGCCGCTGAAAGGTGATCGGTCAGGGATGCTCATCTCTCCAAGCCCAGTGTCCTCTATGCGTCTCTCCCCGCATATTTGCTTCTTACCTTCTCACAGCTTAAGGTTTCCCATAAAACTTGAGTTTATACAACCTCGGTGCCTACACTGACTAGCTTTGCTCAAACCCAAATCCCCCAGAGAAAGACCTGACTGCCCATCTTGGGCAAAGTCCACACCTGGAAAGCAGTCCCCCACACCTGACGCTGGAGGGCAAAGGAGTCCCCAACATGCAGAGACAGAGCACGCCAGGGGTTCTTGGGAGGTAAATACATATCTTGGTATGCTGTGTGCCATCCTTAAGACTTCGAATTCTTTTTTTAATTATTTGATTTTTTAATTACAGTTTACATTCAATATTATTTTGTATTAGTTTCAGGTGTACAGCATAGAGATTAGGCAATCATATGCTTGAAAAAGTGTCCCACTGATAGTTCCAGTATCCACCTGGCATCACACATAGTTATTACAATATTATTGACTATATTCCCTATGCTGTATTCTACATCTCGGTGACTATTGTGTAACTACCAATTTGTACTTCCTAATCCCTTCACCTTTTTCACCACCCCTCCATCACCCTGTTCTCTGTCAACCATCAGTCTGTTCTTTATATCTATGAGTCTGTTTCTCCTTTGTTTGTTCACTTATTTTGTTCTTTAGATTCCACATATAAGTGAAATCATATGGTGTTTGTCTTTCTCTGACTTATTTCACTACCGTGCGTAATGAATGCCCTCTAGGTCAATCCATGTTGTCATAAATGATAAGATTTTGTTCTTATTTATGGCCGAGTAATATTCCACTGTATATATGTTTCACCACTTTTTTTTTATTCCCTCGTGTATTGATGAGTTCTTGGGTTGCTTCCATATCTTGGCTATGGTAAATTATGCTGCAGTGAACACAGGGGTGCCTATATTAGACTCTGAATTCTTAAATCAACAGAGGGAACATAGACCTACTTTTCCTGGCCAGACATCTTGTGTTGTCTTTTATAATTCAAGCCCACTGATTACCACCACTGAAAAGTGTCTGTTCTACCAGTATTCCAATAATGCCTCATATATGGAATGTGATAAAATATTTTCTCACAATAATTTGGTGGATGCTTTTAAAACTGACCTAATTAGTGGGATGCCCCTTTATTAAAACAGATCAGCTAATATTCATTAACAACCTACCAAATCACCCCTGTGTCCTATTGTAGGTGATCTGACTTACAATGAGTTGATCAAGCTGTCTGCAAGCCTGGTCCAGTCCAGGAGAAAAAGTTACCCTCTCATGTTGGCTTCTGTGTTTCCACCTGGTATTGATCTGACTTTCCAAGCTTTTTATTGAGCATGGAGGACTAGAAGATGGATGGGAATGAGGGAGAATCCACTCTCTTGAATTCCCAATCTGTCTGGCTGAACCCAGAAATGCTGCATGCGTTGCCCTCTGCCATCCTCTGTGAAAACAGGACTATATGCCCCAGAACACACACCAGAGGAAAGATCCAGGATACTTTCTGGGGCTCCAAAAATTAAATTGGACACCACCCCTGGGAATCCTGCAGATTGCTCATTTTAGCCCCAACATGTTTCACTTGTTAATTTTTACAAATAAATGAGCAAAGCCAACAGCATTTTGTCGGTGATGATCATTACCAAGCTATTACCTGGTATGTTGATCTCTATTTTTCCTCGTGTGTGTACTGATGTACAGAGCATATTTCTCCAAGAGCAGGTCTATTGAATGTTCTAGAAAACTTTGGTCCCTTTAAACATTCCCAGTAGAGGTGCCTCGTGATTCTGCCCTGGGTGAAGCTGTACTAGGTACACCCAACCCCCGCCACCACCGCCCCGCCCCACAAAAGCATTTTGAATACAATAAACTGGCTTATGAAAACCAAGTAGCTGAAGGCCTTTATTTAAGGTGTTACTCCCAACAGGAAGGTTTGGCAGTACCTTCAGTCTGTCTGGCGGACTGTCAGACCTTAGTCAGTGTGCAAACAACGTCCGCAGAGCCAGGCCTCGCCCAGTTCCAGAGACCGGGCTTGTTTGCACTTTTGACAGCATTTCTGCCTGGGCACAGACAGAAGGGATGGAGTCAGGGACTCCTCGCTGGAGAGAAAGGTGTGCTAATTTTAAAAAGTGGACACAGTGCTTTATATAAGGTGATGGGTCTCAAACTTTGGCTTGCACCAGAACCCCAGACAGGTTTGTTGAAACACACATTGCTCTTTCAGTAAGCCTGGGGCGGGACTCACCATTTGCATTTCTAACCGCTCCTCAGGTAATGCCCCTGCCCATGCAGGATCAGGATTTGAGAGGTTTAGAGTTACCCTAGGGCAGGGGGTCATCAAACTGCGGCTTGGGAGCCACATGCAGCTCTTTGGCCCCGTGAGTGTGGCTCTTCCTAAGCCTTAGGAGTACCCTAATTTAGTTAATAACAATGTATCTACCTATATAGTTTAAATTTAAAAAATTTGGCTCTCAAAAGAAATTTCAATTGTTGTACTGTTGATATTTGGCTCTGATGACTAATGAGTTTGCTGACCACTGCCCTAGGGTCTCCCTCCCTCCAACCCCAGGAGGTTGCCAGGCAGATGGCGGGATTCCTGTTTGCTCCAAGAGACCCAGAAAGCCCAGAGGAGGGGAAGGCATGTGTCCAATCCCACTCAATTTTGCGGGTGTCTCCTTCCAACTCTGCACATACATTTTAGCCAGGGAGTTCC